ACTGAAAATGTGCAATGTGCTGTGCCCAGGAATAAACACTTCCATATGCTAAGCAATTTTGGACTAAATTTCTTCAGGTATATTATCAGCACCCTCATTTGCAAATGAGATACTGAAATTACTTGCCCAAGGTGACAGAACTAGAGATTACCTACATTTTACATACTGGTTAAAATACAGCCCTCCATGGTGGGTTAAAGCACAGCACTAAGAAACTAAAGCCACTTCAGCGTAAGTGCGATCCCTGCCCTTCCTGGAGGTGACCCCATGGCGTGGCAGACCTCTCCTGACCAGCCTGCTGCTCCCCTTCGTTGATCAGCCTGTTCTGCTCCCCACTCTGTCTCTGGTGAAGCCTCTCACCGCCCCACACCACTGGCCTGTACCCCAGTTCTGTATGAATAAATTTTAAAAATCTAAAAAAAAAAAACTACTCTAACCCCTATATGTCTACAACATCTAGTAGAGTGCTGTCTAAAAAGTACTCCAATATCTGTTTAATAAATAAATGATGGGGTCCTCCCTGGTGGTGCAAAGGGTTAAATTGCAGTACTATGAAACTGTCTGTAGCCACTGCAGCACGAGTTCAATCCCTAGCCAGGGAGGTGACCCACATGTCGTGGCAGACCTCTCCTAACCCACCCACTGCTGCCCTCACCAGTGTATTTCGGTGGATCAACTTATTCTGCTCCCCACTCTGTCTCTGGTGAATGCTCTTACCTCACCCTTCATACCTCTGGCCTGTACCCCAGTTCTTGTATGCATAAATAAATACTTTTAATTTTAAAAAATGAATGATGGTACCATAACTAAATGGCACTTCTCTTATCCAGGAGGAGTTTTGAAATGTATGGGAGCATTAGAGATTATCATAATACGGGGCATGGGGGTGACTATCAATCATCATTTGTTGGATGGGGGCTAAAGAAAGGGAAGTTCCTATCCAAATTCCCAGCAGCACTATTGCAGAAACACTAAACATTAAGCTGGTTATTAAAAAAAAAATCCATGTACATGGTAAATTTAACTGTTAGTTTAATTCACAAATCACTTCCTATTCATTGATTAAATGATACATCCATCTCTTACTTAAAACAGTTTGTACCTACCTGGCATTCCATTTTCAAATATACAACCACCTCATTTTAGACCTAGAGCTAGGTCTCCATCTTTTATCCTGAATGTAGCCAAAACACCTTTCCTCTCTTGCCCATCTGACACTTTTTAAAATAAGCTAGTCAGTCACTGACATTCTCTGACTTTGGGGGCACATTCTCACACTTCCATATGTGCACAAGCTTCACTTAACCTCCCTCCACCAATACTCTCTTGTCACCTGGCTCCTTTCTGAACACACCAAATGTATAGCAGATTTGCACAGTGATAAAACGTCACAAGATTTCCCACTGGAAAAGAATTTTCATTGTCAAGAATACACTTTGAAATTTCTGCTGCAAAGAATTACTAGTGCCAGTAGGAAGCTTTAGACTGCCCTGGTCATTGCGCCATACTAATGATTTCCATTGTCTATAGGGAAAAAGATGATGACGACGAAATGGAAATTTAACAAGAATGAGTTTGTAACTAAAGTCATATAAAACCACATCCAAAATGTGAAAAATATTTACTCCTGCAGATAGGTTAAGAATATAAATAAGAACAAAACTTAACAGAGGAACTTATCAAATTCAAGTTCAAAAGGAAGACTGGCTACTTGGCACTGGTGGACTATGAAGAGATCTTTGGCAATGGTTTATTTTAGCATTCCATTTTGCTCTTTGGCCAAAGCAATTATTTCAGAGTTGTGAAAATAATCACAAAATCCAATCTGGGGGTTTCCTATCTTTTTAGATTGTAAGGACCAATGTAAATAGGATGTAATGTAAATAGGATGCTAAGATTAATTTGCCAAAAGATAAAAACAAGTATTTCCTGCCCAGTTTTAACAGTCAAATTACACTAAGCACCTAGCTCTCAGCATTGACTGGAGTCACAGCCTGAGTACTGTTTCTTTAGATTTTATCTGGTCCCTGCAAGATATACCAAAAGAGAAAAAGATCCGGGACTTTAGTGACACAACACAGAGTCTTGATCTTGAACACAATTTAAGACTTTCCCACTGCCAAAGAACTGTGATTTACCTGAGCACTTTCAGCTCACCTTACTGCTCATTATCTCCTCCACCTGAACTGTACATTGAATAGTTTCACCAAGGCTTATTAAAGCTCTGACCACCATGACCAAATCCAGTGAAACTGTCCTCCCAGAAAAAGTTCATCAGAGGTACCAACTCAAAGATTACACCAAGAAACTCACTTTCCTCTCTTAAAAGGCACTGTGTTAAATACTGTGCAGTAACCAGCAGGAACAACACACCAGCAGTCAGAAGACTGGGGAAGTTCTGCCAGGCTTAGACCAGTCACTGTATCCAAGGGTCTCCTGATAGACTGGTTCTTATAAAATGTACAGTATTTTCGCTTTATTTACAACTGGAAAGACATGGAAACAACCCAAATGCCCAAAAGTGGATGACTGGATTAAAAAGATGTGGTATATATACACAATGGAATATTACTCAGCAACCAAAAAAAAAAATAAAAATTAAACACATGTCTTTTGCAGTAAAATGGATAGAGCTGGAAAAGATCATGCTTAGTGAAATAAGCCAGAAAGGAAAGGAAAAATACCAGATGGTTTCACTCACAGCAGTGAACAACTATATACCAGAGACATTTTATGGGGTGGAGTGGGGAATGGGATCAAGAACAGTGGGGGGAGGGAAATGCACTGGACTATGGTGATATATCACACAGGTGATTTGGTGATGGGAAGCCCATGGGGATTACAACTGCGATAGAAAAAGGCACAAAATGATGTAAAAATAAACTATTTTTTAAAAAGTTATTCCAAAGAATGATCATTTTTATGGATCATTTAAATTAACTTAATTAACTTGATCTAAAAAAAATGATTAGCATTTTCATCTACCTTCTCTCAAAGACCTAGGAAGACAGGACAAATATGAAAGGCAACTGAGTCCTCCCAGTGATTAACTGTAGTTACTAAAAGGGATTCTGGTACAGATGACTTTACAAAGAATAAGTTTGGAAGGCCAAAACAAATTTGCTTCCCATCAACTCCACAATGATTCAATCTCAGTTACTTCAAGATGGCTTGTCAGGAGGGTAGAGGATAGATATAACTAACTACCCTTTGTAAGGGAACAAATAGAATCTAAGCTATTCTTCACCCTTCCTCGAATTCTTAGCCCCATGAAGTGGGTACAGTTAGACATGCTCCTCAGTTCCTTAGTAGGGGCATAAGGTATGTGGCTTCCAAACCCTCCAGGGGTTGTCCACTTCCAAACAACTGGTGGCAGTACAACAATGGCCCTGAGGTCTTCCTTTACGCTTGCCACCCTCCACATTCTCCACAAAATTATCTTCTCAAAAACTAGACTCACCTGTAACTTCTGACTCACTCTACTGCCTCTATCTTCCTTCTCCCTACACTTTCAGGATAAAAGCCCTGGTATGGAATGCTCTTCCTGCCCTACGATTTGGGTCCCATCAGCTGTGGCCATGCTAGCTGTCCTTCCAACTTCTCACAAGCGTTATTCCTTCTCCTGTCTCAGGCCACTGACATATGATGTTCCCTAGAACATTTTCACTTCCACAGCCCTACAGCCTCATCTAAGATGTCCGTTAAAAATTATATCCTCTAAAATATTCTTTCTGAACCTTCTGTAAAGGCAGGTCCCAGGTGAACTCTTTCATAACCCTTATCCCTTCAAAGCACATTTCACACTTCGATTATTTACTGAAATTCATCTCCTCTGTTTAAACTGTGTCTGTTTGTTAAACGCTGGTAACTGGCGATTAGCTGGCATACAGCTCAATACATAATAAGTCCTCATTACCTGTCTCCGACTTTATTTCCCACTTTATAATTTAAATCCCCAATTGGAATTTTAACTCTTCGGTAAATGAGTTTTTCTCATTTTCAGGCCTTCAAATCCTGTGGCTTTCTCTGTCTAGAAAAGTTCTTCCCATTTCTCTGCACTTCTTCAAATCCCACTGAATTGACACTCTTTATCTTTCCTAAAGGTACTTATTGATAGCACCAATTCATATATCTGTCTCTGCTCCAAACACTTAGAACTTTCTTTTTGATAACACATAACTTCACAGTACTTCAATGTGGGGTGGTGTGTGTATATGTGAGAGCGAGAGAGAGAACTTCTCTTTCCAACACTGGTACTAAATTGTAAGGCTGTTAACATTCCACTCCTCCCTTATCAGAGTAGTGCTAAGTACTGAATTCTTACTGAAATAGTTTCTTTTCCCCTAACAAGCCAGATTTTTTCCCTCTGAAAAGAGTATTAGTTTCCCTCTTATTCCACTGTTTCTTAGATGATTCAATTTGCCTTATGTGACTTAAGTTCCTTTTCAGGGATTTACTGCTTACCCTTCCCCCACTCTAATAAAAAATAACTTGAGTTCTCTGCCTTCTTTCCTGGGTCTACAAGGAAGGACCCTGAGTCTTTGGTGAGGGTCCCCTCCCTGCGGTGAGGGGTTCCCGACCCTTTGCACTGCCAATATCCTACTCACAAACGCAAACGCCCAGTGAAGGCTTTTGCGCTCGCTGTAATCTTACACATAACCCACATCCTAAACTGGGCCACTGTTACCGTTCATCCCCCTCAATCGCGGAGCGTGGGTTCGCTGTGACCCTACTGCCATCCAATGAGAAAGGTCCCAGACTCACTGTGCTTTTCCTTTCTGCCTCTGCGTACCCCCCAGGGCCCTTGCTGTCCCCTTCCTTCCTCTTCCTGAAGACACAGAACCTCGACCCAAGGTTGCGACGAAATACCAGACCAAGCGACCCAAGCCAGCTCCAACGCCACAGCCGCGGCGCCCGCCCCCATCCCTCCCAGGCGGCGACCGCAGCGCAAGCTTCGGCCTGGCCGGACTCCCCATCTGGGGCAGCCATCGCTCACTGACCCAGGAAGGTGTCAAACGAGGAAGCAGCAGCAGTACCAGGTACGGAGGCAGACAGCCTGGCAGGCGTTAACGGCTCAGCGCTCCATCCCTTCCCGACCCAAGCCCCGGCTTCACGGCTTCCTCGACCCCAGCGCCCACGGAACAAGTCACGTGCCAGCCGGAGCAGTCAGCTGACCCAGGCGCGCGCCGCTCCGCCTACGCGCGCGCCACTGCGCAGCCGCAGCCGCTGTCGCCGCCGCCGCCGCCGCCGCGACCTCCGAAGAGGGGCGGAGCTGGGAAACTCCCGGAGACCCGGGAGTCGAGGCTGGAGGCCGCCGCGGCTGCGGGATGCGGGCTTCCGCTTCTGCCCGTGTCCAGGCTGGGCAAGGGCCGCCCTGGGTGGACGTCACGGCCGCCTTCCCTGACGTTATCCCACTTCGGATTTCTACGTATCAGAATTTGTCGGCAGCCCCTGCACAGGCTCCTTGACACTCGGGGTTTCTTCAACCACTCCTGTCATCCAAGTCTTAAAAGTTTACTCAGCTCATTTCATATTTTCCGTCCAGCCCACGGAAAGTCAATTCCGTGAGCGTTAGTGGAGCATTCACGGTGCACGAGGCAGTTTTGCTCATTTTGTTTGATCATGCCCCAGAGCAAAGCGGTGCTCGTCACGAGAGCATGTTATCTAATTCAGGGGCAGGTGAAGCGTGTGATAAACAACAGGAAGAATTGAAATCACATTAGATGATGGGGAACCACGGAGGGTTTCAGGACAAAGGCATGCACAAGAATAGCCTATTCTTGGAGGTCTTGGAAGGGAGAACAAGCCACTCTTATAAACCCCGCATATTTCATTGGTTTGGAAAGTGGGTGGTATTCTATTTTAGAACAGTTTTAGAAACAATAGAGAGCTTTGTGGTTTTCTAATTGAACCCTTTTAGATTTCTAGATTTCTAGATGAGGAAAGTCAAAACCCAGAGGTCACAGCTTTTTAGCACAAGAGTAACTAGACATGTCTGCTTTTAAATACTGGCTGGGCTGCACAACTTAAAGGACTTTGGCCTTTAAACTTCAGCTTCTTCATCTGTCAAATGTGGTCATAGTACATACCTTGTAGAGGTATTGTGAGGATTAGGTGAAGTACGTATAGGAACCATCAGTAAGTGCCACCATCATTAATATATATTATAGGATCCAGGTTTCCTTACCTGTCCTTTTCTGCTGTTGTTTTACACAAATTAACCATGGAGTTTCCTAGTTCTTCAGTATTGGCAGAAAGTAACAAACAACCAAACTACCCCAAAATGACATTTTTCACCAATTTTGGATTAAGTTCAGGCAATTCTGACAATCGGTTCTGTTTAACACAGCTTTGGAAACTCATCAGGAATTCCAACTGCTTTACCTGGCATTATATAATGGGTCTAAAGACAATTTTGGGGGTTAGATTCATGTTATCCAATAAAACCCTCTTTAATGATGGAAATGTTCTGTATCACCCATATGGTACCTCTGAAAAAAAATTAGCTTCCTGTGGCTACTGACCACTTGAAATGTGTCTAGTATAACTGAAGAAATAAATTTAAAATTTTAATTAAAATTCAAGTAGCCACATAAAGCTAGTGGCAGGCAACACTTTGGAAAGTGCAAACTTAGGGTCTGCATTTGAAACAGAATTCTTAATTTTTAAACTCAAGTGAGCCTACCTCTGACCATATTTTCCAATTATCTGTAACATTGTTAAACAGAGAATTAAGCAGCCTCAATAAATGTTACTTCTAGTTATTATTAGGACTAACATATCTTTTTTTTAAAATCTAGCATATGTGTTTACTATAAGCAAGGCATGATTGCTTTCTAATTGTTTCAAATAGACTAGCTAGAGAACTTAATTTACTACACACACTTAATATTTAAGTGTGTATAATAAGCTTGCTACACCTTGTTCTCCATTTCCAACTTTCTGATCATTCCCATCTGCAGCACCTTATATGAAGCTGTCGGCAGCCACTGCAGCATGAGTTCTATGCCTTGCCAGGGAAGTCACCATATGGCACAGCAGACCTCTCCTGACCCGCGGGCTGCTCCCCTCAGCAGTGTGTTTAGTGGATCTGTCTGTTCTGCTCCCCATTCTTTCTCTGGTGAATCCTCTTAACTGCCACCACCACCCCGCTCCCTTCACCTCTGGCCTGTAACTCTTGTGTGCATAAATAAATAAATCTTTAAAAAAAAATCACTGAGAAAAGTACATGAAGATTTTTCTTCTTAACACTTTTTTCAAAGAAAAGAGATAGTGGTTTTAATTAAAGTGGAAAAAGTATTTGAAACTAGTAGTGCAATCGTAATCAAAATCAATTTTACCCACCTCTAATATTAAAAATATCTTGAGAGTTGGTCTTCCTCTTCAGAAATGTTATATGTAGGAAAACACCTTGATAAACTAATGGGGCAAAAGATAAACTGAGAGCTTCCACTGAAAACAAAGAAACCATAGATATAACTAGCTTCCCATGTAGATTAAGGAACAAACTAATGGAGCAGAAAATAAACAGAGTCTGGGCAAATGGAGAAAGAGCAAAAACAAAGATATAATAAACTAGTTTCCTATAAAGATTGAAAGGAACAAAAATTAGACTAAGGAGGTGTGGATGAAGGCATAGGGGAGTGAAAGAAAGGGAAAAGAGAAAAAAGAAAGCAACGTAACAAATTTGTAAAACTAGCAGTTTTAGAACTCCATTGGAGGCTGTTTCAATTGCTGAGATTAAATCCTTTGCCATCTGCTCAGATCTTTAACAGTCCAAACTCAAATGCATGTGTACTTTTTTGTTTTTGTTAGCAGAAGATGTCTTATCCAAGCTACATTATATAAAGAACTCAGACAAACTGACTAAAACAATTCTAAAACCCTAAAAGTCAAATGGGCAAACACACAAACTATTAAAAAAAGAAGAAGAAATATGGCCCTCCCTGTTGGCGCAGCGGGTTAAAGCATAGCACTGAGAAGCTAAAGCCAGGTCCACATGAGTTCGATTCCTGCCTGCCCCGGAGGTGACCACATAGCGTGGCAGATCTCTCCTGACCCACCCACGAGTCCCCTCAGCAGTGTACTTCGTGGATCTGCCTGTTCTGCTCCCCACTCTGTCTCTGGTGAAGCCTCTCGCCACCCCTGAACCTCTGGCCTGTACCCCAGTTCTGTATGTATAAATAAATAAATCTTTAAAAAAAAGAAGAAGAAGACGAAGAAGAAATACTACAGACTAAAAAACATGGAAAAATAGTCACTTTTACTAGTGTTCAAAATACAAATAACATAAATGTAAACAATATGTAAAAATAAATATGAATAAGAACTTGTATTAGTAAAGAGAGAGTATATACATTACAGCCAGTTCTAGCGAGATTGTGGTAAGAAGGATTCTCTTTCACTGCTAGTGGAAATGTAAATTCGTATAGTTTTTATGGTCAGCAGTTTGATTTAGGGATCTAAAGGCTTTGAATGCTCATTCTGTTTCTCCCACATTAAGGTGGAAATAATTCAAAAGATAGGCAAAAGATTATCAAAAACATATTCCTTGCATTATGACACCTGTTTTCATCATCAAGATTTATTAAGGATTTAATTGGAGATGAAGTTTTGGCAATGGCTTGAAGTTCATATCTTGAATAGTCAGAGTTTAATGTTCACAGTTAATAATTAAAATACATTAGCCCTCCCTGGTGGCACTTAGTGGGTTAAAGCACAGCACTAAGAAGCTCAAGCCACTTCAGCATGAGTTCGATCCCCCGCCTGCCCCGAAGGTGACCACATGGCCTGGCAGTCCTCTCCTGACCTGCCCGCTGCTCCCCTCAGCAATGTACTTCGTCCATCTGCCTGTTCTGCTCCCCACTCTGCCTCCGGTGAATCTTCTCACTGCCCCTGCACCTCTGGTCTGTACCCTAGTTCTGTATGCATAAATAAATAAATCTTTAAAATTAATAAATAAAATTAAAAATTATATATATTGTGGCCCTCCCTGGTGGTACAACTGATTACAGCACAGCACTATGAAGCTCTTCTTAGCTACTACAGCATGAGTTCGATCCCTGGTCAAGGAGATGACCCATAAGGCACAGCAGACCTCTTCTGTCTCTTCTGCTGCTCCCCTCAGCAGTATATTTCAGAAGATCTGCCTGTTCTGCTCCCCACTCTCACCCCCCCATACCTTTGGCCTGTACTCCAGTTCTTGCATGCATAAATAAATAAATAAATCTTATATATGTATACATATACATATGTATATATATAAATATTTTATGTATATACACATGTGTGTGTATATATATGTATGTATCTATATATGTATGTATATAGATAGATAGATAGATAGATAGATAGATAGATAGATACATATATATTCCTGTTTTCAGGCACGCACACACAAAGCCTGAATCATAGGCTCAGGCACAGATAACACTTGTGTCTCACCTTTCCCAGGGCAAGGAGTCAAGGATATCCATGCTCCCGAGGCTGACAGAAAGGGGGTGTATCCCCTGTCTCCATCCCATTCTCTGCTACTGACCAGGGTCATCGCTCAGTTTCCTTAATCATATATAACATAACCATATATATTATAACCATATATAACAGTTTCTGAAGCACTTTGTTTTGCATTATTATATGCTTTGATTATATTAACTCATTTAATCCTCACAACAAACTGCTGAGAAAATTAATTTTTATTCTTTACTTTATATAGGAGGAAGCTGAGGTGTGATTGTGTAATTTACTAACTAGTAAGTAGTATGTCTGAGTTCTGAATATAGGCTGTTTGGGTCCTGAGTTCAACCTCTGCTACATAAATCCTCTCCTGGAACTGTCTCTTAAACACATTCCTCTTATACTCTGAATTCCCCTGGCACTCATGGCATTTAGCTAATTTCACTCACCTTACATTTGATGAACTTTACTAAGACCACCTTTAACTCCAAGTCTTAAATATGCATTGTACACTTGTCAGCATTTGACAGCTGATAGCTAAATAGAGTTCACAACTAAAGGATAGGTCAGGTTTTCAAATATTTAATGACAGAGGGAAAGAAAGCGGTTATCTGAATAATTAAACTTGTCAGTTCCTTTCTTTTGTTCCTTGTATTATTGGGCCCTGTACTAATACAAATCATCATCTTTGTTATCACTTTGTAAA